AGGGACAGCCACAAAAACAGACATGTTTGTTACATTGCTGAAATATTTTACAAATCGATTAAAACTCGTGCGTGAGAACAATGGTGGCCCAATTAAGCGATATTGATACTTGGCATTACTTTTTTTGATTCAATTAAAATCTTATTTTACTTTGTCATGCTCTAGGGGGGAAAAAGTGTGATTTATTTCGCAACACCCCTTAAAGTAGGATTTCTCGTTTAGCAGTCATTAGTAGACACATAAACATTATACACAAATTATACGTTTCAAATCCTGTTGCTGTATGAATTATTACTCTGAACTCTGTCCTATTTTCTATTATCCCAACAAGGACACGGAATATAGCACTTTAGAAATGTAAAGGTGTTTGTAGCCATTCTTCTTACAATCGCTTACTTCATTAAAACATTCTTCGTAATTACGTTTTTGATGAGATTACGGTACTGTATTAGCATTCTGAAGAATGGTAGAAAATATAATTAGTCACACAAGCTAATTCACAGAGAAAATAGAAGATAATCAAAGAGAGGTTACAAGATTTGAGGGCACACAATTAGTGGGCTCACTTATCGTGGTCAACGACGGTTGTAACGTATCCAAAAATATCTGACGACGCGCTGTAAGAGAACAATTTTCCAGCCCACCCCTGGTGTCGTTTGCTTCCCAGGATTTAATTTGAGAGACACAGATCTGAGTAAATAAGGATGATTGTGGACTAGCGGTACTCTTAAGGGACCAATTATTTATTTCATGTGAAACAATAACATGAATTAAATAAACTTTTACGTTAACGATCCCCCTAGTCATAATGACTATATGATCTGTTGTTATCTGGACAGCAGATATTCTGCGAAACGTTTCACGTTTTAATCCTGCAAATACGATCACGAAACGTTGTAACTTTATACAACGGATTTTACACAAGTATACGTAACAGGAATAAAATATCCATGAATACAGACACAGTATATACTATAAAAAACCGTTTTGTGTATCATTAACTTGCGCACAGTCAAACCACTAAGTTTATCAAGTAAATTCATTCATTTTGAAGAACCGTTGTCCAAGTAACTTATTTTGGGGCATTCAAGGCGCACATGACTTTATGTCACTCGGGAAATAATTTGGCAGTTGAAAAAAAATTTTTCTTATTTTACCATTTCATCCATTCTATTTCAAGACTGCACTTCGCAAAATACATCCAATTCCGCCAACATAACATAAAGTAAACTGTATTGAAAGTCATATATGAACAATTTAAAAATCCAAATGTTACATTTCGTTTTAATACATAGTAAAATGGCGTTACCCATTGAATTGGCTATATAAAATTACTTTGAGTTTTGGCACGTGTTAAATCCTCGAGCTAGGAGTTCGCTTCATTTAAACATAATTTTGTGTCGCACTATATACCCCCAGCACTGGTTATCAGGTGCCAGTTTCTAAATGACAAACGTAACTGTAGCTTCAAAGTGATATTTATTTCGTTAAATACATAAACATGCATGTATTTATTTGGTTAAGATCAAAGGCATATCCTCGCTACATCTTTCATGGACTATGTGTTTACCGGTGTTTCCTGATCTCCCTCTTCAATTAAGACAGCTAAGACGTAGAAACGAATACCCATTAACGGACCAATGGAAGACTGCACAAACAATTACTATTGCGTTCTGAGACGGGCCACTGAGAGGCATTTCGCTGAACAGCCACTATCAAATAATAGAAGTGTAGTAACTCCCTAACACAAGTGCTATCTCAATATGTGGTTGTAGTTATACGGTTTAATATATATCTGGAAAATACGACTGTTCTTCTAAAGTGACGAACTACGTACTTACTACCCAGTAGAATTGAATGTGGTTTCGTAGGTTTAAATTAATTGAAACGTTATTCTGTTGCTGGTAACTTTACGTCTGGATATAATCATGTGCGCATCTTTTAACCAAATATTGTGTTATTCATAAATTATCAATATATGCACAAACCTTATAGGTAATTAATGTGCAGATTTTAAGTTTGGACAGCTTAAGGCAGTCAGTTAATATCTTACAGGATCCTCCAACGTTAAATTACCCGCACTTATTTAGATAGAAAATACCAAAATTAATTAATCACACTGAAAAAGATGCATTTATTAAATGTCATGGTGGAAGACGGAATGTGAAACGCAGGTACGTAATAATACAGCACTTGGTCTAAATTATTGAAATAGTAATTTAAAAACATATTTCAAAACCAAGAGGTAGGCCTCAAATATCACAAGCTAATAAATAAGTGGTGGAAGAACTTTGTTGGATTTTGTGTATAGCTAGCCGTTTCTAATTTAGAAGTGACAGGCTAGAGGGTTTGGTTTGTTTCGAATTTCGCGCAAAGCTTCACGAGGGCTATCTGCGCTAGTCGTCCCTAATTTAGCAGTGTAAGACTAGAGGGAAGGCAGCTAGTCATCACCACCCACCGCCAACTCTTGGTCTACTCTTTTACCAACGAATAGTGGGATTGACCGTCAAATTATAACGCCCCAACGGCTGAAAGGGCGAGCACGTTTGGTGGGACGGGGATTCGAACCCGCGACCCTCAGATTGCGAGTCAAGCGCCCGAACCAGCTGGCCCAGACTAGAGGGAAGGCAGCTAATCAGCATCATCAACCGCCAACTGTTGGGCTATTCTTATCAGACCAAATAATGGGATTTGGCCGTCACTGTCATAGCGCACACACGGAGAGCGATTTTGTTTCTTAACTTTTTGGTGGTGACGAGACGCGAACAATGGAATCTAAGATCAAAAATTTGGAGCTCTAACCATATTCGGCCCTAACAAGTGAAAGAAGTGACGATGAAGCGATAAATAACAAACTTCAAAATATCGACTCAATATTTTAATGCACTTAAGTTTCAACATAGAACATTCTAACTTGTATGAAATTATTACTATTGATCGCCACGCTAACAATGAGGAAACAAAAGCTGGTCTAAATATAACCATTCCCGGCTACAGAATAAAGAGAAATTTAAGACTAGCGATACAAATTGTTTCTATGTGATAAAAATATTTTAAACAATCCAGACTTTCATTTCCTACAACGTCCTTAGTGAAATACGCTCAACTTGTTTTTACTTCTCAACAAATTACAAATTCTCTTTATTTCCATGATGGCCAGGTGGTTATGGTGATCGACTCGCAATCTGAGGGTCGCGGGTTCGAATCCCCATCAAACGTGCTCGCTGTTTTAGCCGTGGGGGCGCTATAATTTGACGGTCAATCCCACTATTCGTTGGTAAAAAGAGTAGCCCCAAGAGTTGGCGGTGGGTGGTGGTGATGACTAGCTGCCTTCCCTCTAGTCTTTCACTGCTAAATTAGGAACAGCTAGCGCAGATAGCCCTCGTGTAGCTTTGCGCGAAATTCAAAACAAACAATTCCATGTACACCAGGGTTCACTTACCGGTATAGAATGTAACATCATCTCTGTGACGTTAACTTTAGGAGCTGAGAGGGCGCTATCGTCGACACTCCCCAAGCTGGAGCTGGAGCTATGGTAGCTTTGTCTCTGTGAAGAACCCGACTCACTGCTTTGGATAGACATACGATAAGAACCCACCTGAAATATGTCAAGTGTTTCATGTAATTACTATCAGTGAAATACAGAATATTGAATTTTTATAGGAAATTTACGACAGCGAATTGGTCTGTTTTATATAAAATATTAGAAGTTGTCAAACATTATTTTCAGCAAAATAGCTCATAGGACTAAGAAAATCATTCAACTTATTCTAGGTTTCACAAATTTCCATTGGGTTTTACGCCAGCATATATTAGGCATCAATACTCCAAACATTTAATTTACGATAATCATCGTTCTCTATGCAAATACACCTTAGAAAGCTAGTAGTGGAGGATCTTCATCAGGAGGAGGGTCGCGAAATAGTACTTCCAGCCTGGATAGCGGTCGAGCTTCGGGGTCAGATGGCAAGGTGAATATAGCTATATGTCGTATCTAGTCATGTGTTGTATTGTAAGGTTAGACCTCGTTACGATATCACGAAGAGCTTATATATATCAATGGTAACCGCAGTAACCTAGATTGAAAATAAGCTATTTCGGCATCGCTAGGTTCCGGATTTATAGTTTTCTAGTCAACTGACATTTTCCAGGTGTATTTATATATGTAATAAAGCATAAAGCTACACAATGAGTTATCTGTGCTCTGCCCACCACGGGTATCGAAACCCGGTTTCTAGGGTTGTAAGTCCGCAGACATGCCACTGGGGGGCGCCTGGACTCTCCCGACCAGGGCTTTGACATACATCAATTCCCTGATCTTCTAGCGATGACTGGGTGCCGTGAAGAGGTTTGTTGTGTGTCATTAGAGATGCTAAAATGAACATGTACTGATGAGTTTCAGTTTATTCAAACAATCTCGATATCGGAATCCGAATGTTTTGTCTGAAATTCTATGTGAAAACTAAAAAGAGCACAACCTACCACTTTCAAAGCCAAGAGAATGCACCCCGTCCGTGGGCGTACTGGGATGACTGCTAGGACGTGGGTGAACAACCACCTGGGTGTAGTGGGTCTAAAGAGAAATAATATACAGAACATCAGTCTTTCTTGTAAAGTTTCATTTTTTTGTAGCACGTGGCTGTCACGTTTAATGCGATTGGTGGAGCATAGATAAGACAATGTTAGACAGAACTCGGTCTTTACTTTGTATTAGTTATTGGTCCTTAGCTTTCAACTAAAATAGCCTACAGTTTTGCGAACATTTCAATACCAATATATGAAATTTCTTTTACAAACGATCAAACATTATATATTAATGTAAAGAAAGCGATGCCACATTTACTAAACATAGTAATTTTACTATTTCTCCTTTCTCTATAAACCAGTGTCAATTCATGGGTAATATTATGTTCCCTAATACGTTAAATAACATATAAAAATAAAAGAGAAACAGTTTTGATAGTTTTAATCATACAATTCATACCTGAGAGTCCGCAAAGCGAAAGGGTCCAAGATGGCGGGTAGGTGATGGGGCTAAGATTGGTGCATGATACACTGGAAATCTCCCATAGTCTGCAAGTTCTGTTAAATTAAGTAAACAAAATGAAAAATAAATGTGGTTACAGTATAGGGTTCTCAAACCCAATGTAACATTTCTACGTAAGGTTTACCAATAACCAAGTATTAATTTTCGTGTGAATAACCAACTTGACACGAAAGATGTCAATTAAAAATTAGTCACCAGTAAAACGAAAATATACACCTGGAAAAAAGTTAAGCACCCCCAAATATTTTTCAGGATTGCTTATTGAAAATAAGGTTTAATTTTCATGATGTTGAGCAATGTTCATAATTTCAAACATAATTAAAAGGATGT